CCTGTGCGTCTGAGCGCTAAAGTCGAGGAAGCACATGCGTTTTGACATGGTCCCATCGAAGCCGAGCAATAAATGACCAACGACCTGCATATATATATTACAGTCCACAACCACAGCGTACACAGGGAATCATTGTCCAGCACCCACTTTTTTGCCACAACGTTTTTTGCGCCAACGATCGGTCAAGCCACAGAGATCTAGCGACAACACAACCACACTCAGCTTTCTTGCCACGACACCAGCTTAATTTGCCAGGACACCAGCGAGCGTACAACACTACAACCACCAAACACCAATCACTTCTAATTCAAGGTACGTGGTTATAATTTCAATTGCACTTGATAGAAAATTGCCAAAAAAAAAAAAAAAACGTTTTAAATTCAATGCGCGTGTGCAAACTAGAATCTCGCGAGTGTTTAAACTGAAAATATACAATTGGAGCATTTAATTTTAAAGCCACACTATTAATAATTGAGGTTAGTCTGTCCGTCCGCAAGTGACAACAGCGACCACAATTAGGTGTTCTTTGCAACATAAACATACACACAGTGTCACACAGTACTCGTTGGTTTGCTGCACATTTTTTAAAGTCTCGGTTCAAATTACGTCCGCGCACGGCAACCAAAAATAAGTGCACCTTGCAACCACTCGTATATACACACTCACTTCAGTGATCCGCATCACTTAATATTGTTAATGAAGTATTTCGATTTTGTTTAAATTGACAGTCCATAATCATAACCTTCATTTTTCTGATCGTTTTTTCACTGCGCCTCTTAGTTGGCTTACATTCTTTTGTATATTTGCGAACACTGTCACTGTTTCGAGGATACATAACCTCTAAATTTTGTTATTTGCATTGGACCAATTGTAGATTTTCACTAAATCACTACGCATAAGCGATTCAACTCATACATTGCACATTTTTTACCATATATATTTGCTACGTACGTTGCACTCATCGAAGTGGTCACTCTGTTTATTAAAATTTGCTGCGTACGTTGCACACATCACGATTTTACCACGTATATTATTTACACCTTATTGCGTACCTTGCATAGCTTATCAAAGCGCGTAGATATTAGTCAGCACAGTTGGGTGGCGAGTCGTTAGTAAACAATAATTCTAGAAGAAAAAGGTTTACATTTTAATAAAGTGTCGAATATATTTCGCAATACAAACTATTTTGCATCTTTTTAATTCGTTGGATTTCTGGTATACATTTAAGTGGCAAGTTCCGGTGGATAAAAAATTGGCAACTTCTCTTGCGCATACAACCTCTAATCTTCGATAAGATTAAGTGTGTAAAATCCTATAGATTCTATCTGGGCATTACAGTTAATACTTCGGTCAGGGTAAACACGTTAAACAATGGATTCGTATATTCTTTTGGCAGAAGCTGTAACAGAGTTTGAATCTGATTACAACGGCATACCCGCCGCAGAACAAAACAAACATGGTCTTGCTATTCAACAAGACGAGTTAAAAGCTTTGTGGGAAAAAACAAAGTTAGCTTACGATAAGCTTATCAATGAGGGATTGTCTAAGGATGATGCTAAGGCCATAAAAAAGAAGAATAAGATTTCCTTTCAAAGCTATGTTAGGTGCATGTCTGCTATTGGTTCTCAGGTTGAAATTCTAACCAAAGCGAACAAAGATGTAGAGGATCGGTCCGTCCGAGAACACAATATCCACCTGCCACCGTGCGATACAGATGTGTTCAAGGGCGACTATCTCTCATGGCCAACTTTCCGAGATATGTTCACGGCCATCTACATCCTGAACAAGCGCCTCACCCCAGTTGAGAAACTAGTTCACCTCAACAATAAAACACAAGGGGAGGCAAAAGACATAGTGCGAAAGTGCCCACTTACCCATGAAGGCTTTTCGACAGCCTGGAAAAACCTGTGTGAGCGATACGAAAACAAACGTATCTTAGTTAACACACAATTAAAAGTTTTATTTAGCTTAAATACAGTGGAATCTGAGTGTGGTAGCTCAATTAAAAACCTACAGCGCGAGATTAATAATTGTTTATCGTCCCTAAAAAGTCATCAAATTGACATCTCTAATTGGGACGCAATTATTATATATTTGTGTTCAACGAAGCTTCCAGAAAGTACACTGGCCCTATGGGAACAGACCATAGACCAGAAAACTGACATTCCAAAGTGGGAGGATATGGACAGGTTCCTATCCAATAGATTCCAAACTTTGGAAACTCTAGCGGGGCTAAAGGGTACAACAACGGTGAAAGCTCCAAAGCACCAACCCGCACGGCACCACCAGGAAGCTAACACTAAAAGGCTAGGAGCCTTTCATGGAAGCGTGAGCAAGTTCACCTGCCAAATGTGCCAAACTAATGAGCACAAGTTACGCAACTGTCCACAATTCCTCAACAAAACACCTGCTGATAGAATCGATTTTTTGAAAAGCAAAAAATGGTGCCTGAACTGTCTTAGTACTGGACATACCGTGTCAAGATGCACAAACCCATTTAATTGTATAAAGTGCCACTCGCGACACAACACGCTCCTTCATATTGAGACAGCTCAAACAAAGGCAACGACACTTGGGACCTCTTTGGATTCTGCGACTAATTCTGCATCAACATCCAATCAGGCCCAAGCCAAACGCAATTCAACAAAGTCAAACAAGCATACAAGCAAAAACGTGAAGTCTTGCTATGCGAATACAAACACAGGTGTGTTATTAGGGACAGCACGCGTCAACATTTATCTCAATGGTACGAACTATTCCGCTAGAGCACTTATTGATTCTGGTTCAGAGTGTTCTTTCATTACTGAAAGACTAAAACGCAGAATTCACTTGCCGTCAAAGCGTATGCATGCCCAAGTTTCGGGCATCACTAATACAACTACGGCGCAGGTTAAAGAAGCGTGCAACATCGAATTGCGGTCTCCTGTTGACCCGTTGTTCCGCTTAAATACCTCTGTGCTCGTGCTAGCACAACTGACTGGAAATCTTCCTACTTGCCACATTAGTGCAGTGACTAAGCAAGCATTTCCAGATCTAATTCTAGCGGATAAACGATTTTTCGTCAATGAACCCGTAGACCTTGTTCTGGGTGGCGACATATATCCACAAATTATTCTGAGCGGGCTTAAGAAAAACATATTAAACACACTTCTGGCCCAAGAAACAGTATTTGGCTGGATAATAACAGGGCGAACTGATACCTCGAATCCAGGAACGAATATCGTCTCATACTACAGCGAAGTTAGTCTGGACAAGCAATTGAGTGCCTTTTGGGAGCTTGAGGAGATTCCAAAGAACAAGAGCCTTAATGAAGACGACAAGTACTGCGAGGAGCTGTATCAGAAGACAACCATACGAAATAATAAAGGAAAATACATCGTGTCACTACCATTTAGGAAAGATTTTCCAGGAAATATTTCCCTAGGCCCATCCCTTAAAAGAGCATGTTCTCAATTTTACCGGAATGAGACACGGCTGGCCAAGGATCCCGTCCTGCAAAAGGAATACAATAGGGTTCTAGCGGAATATGAAACGCTTGGGCATATGTCGAAAATAACAAATCCCATACCCGCAGACTCGTCTGATAATTATTTTCTGCCGCACCACGCTGTTATAAAGGCAGAAAGTACTTCAACGAAAGTACGCGTGGTGTTCAATGCCTCAAGCCCAACGGCGAATGGCAACAGCCTAAATGACGTACTTTTCCCAGGACCAGTACTTCAGGCAGATCTTCCGATACTAATACTCCGTTGGAGACTATACAAATATGTGTTCAACAGTGACATCGAGAAGATGTATAGGCAAATTCTGGTACATAACAACCATACTAAGTATCAGAGGATTATTTTTCGCACTAACCCGAATGACCCGATCAGTCTGTACGAATTAAAGACTGTCACGTTCGGCATCAATTGTGCTCCTTATCTGGCTATAAGGACACTTTTACAATTAGCTGACGATGTGCAAAGCTCCCATCCAATAGCCTCTAACATACTACGAAAATGCATGTATGTCGACGATGTATTGTCTGGTGGACACACTATCGATTCAGCAATAAAAGCCAGAGATGAGATATCGGAAGTGTTGCAATCAGCCGGTTTTCCACTTCGAAAGTGGACAGCCAATAGCGAGCAAATACTTAATGGCATACCAAAAACAGATCTACTTAGCGAAGATTTTTTGGCATTTGAAGATACCAGCGCAGTCAAGGCTCTTGGAATAAGATGGAATGCCCATACGGATCTTTTCTATTTTATAGCAAGGCCATTGGAGAAAAGCGATGCTGTTACGAAAAGAGCGATACTATCTGCCATTGCTAAACTCTTCGATCCGCTGGGGTGGCTTGCGCCTATCATAATCGTAGCCAAAATCCTTATGCAAAATATTTGGCTGGAAGGCACAGATTGGGATGAGACTGTGTCTTCGACCACTCTAGACCGATGGCAGAACTTTACCCAACATTATAACGAAATTGATAAGGTTCGTATACCGCGATGGGTATACTTTTCTCCAACGGATGAAATACAAATACACGGATTCTGTGACGCATCGGAGAAAGCATATGCCGCCTCTGTGTATATGCGTGTCAAAAGAGACAGCAAAGTTTTTATTAACCTGCTTTTGGCAAAAACCAGAGTTGCTCCTGTTAAAACCATATCGCTACCCCGACTGGAACTTTGCGGAGCGGTACTATTGGCGGAAATAGTTGATTCAATAATCAACAATCTCAACTTAGGGCATATCAACATACATCTGTGGACCGATTCCACAATTGTTCTCGCTTGGATTCGTAAGCCTCCGTGTTCATGGTCAACTTTCGTTGCCCATAGAATCACAAAAATTGTAGAGAAAGTCGGACACAAGAATTGGCTGCATGTGGATTCGGCATCAAATCCAGCAGACTTAGCGAGCAGAGGACTTCCAGCATATGAATTGGTCAACAATTCGTTGTGGTGGCAGGGACCTTCTTGGTTACAAGAAGATAACCCAAAATGGCCCACCCAGGAAACAGACTACAGCACAGTAGTTGAGGAAAAAAAGAACGCACGTTTATACAACCAAAGTAAATTATACCGATATTCTTGACCGTTTTTCAGATTTTCCGAGAGCTTTGAGAGTATTATCATATGTTATGAGATTCTCTCAAAGAACGCATCGAAATACGAAAGCTTCATTTCAAGACAAGTCACGCTTAATTTCATCCCATGAAATTAAAGCAACGACACAACGCTTGATAAAAATATATCAACAGAACTATTACAGTGAAGAATACAGGAAACTTAAAGCAGGAAACTCCATCGACTCCAAGAGTGAACTCCTACCGCTTAATCCGTTCATAGATAAAGATGGCATTATTAGGGCTGGTGGGCGTCTTGGAGCGTCTCAAGACTTAGCGTATAACGAGCGGCATCCAATAATTATTCCTTATAACTGCAGGTTGTCCCGTCTAATAGTGTCCTTTATTCACCAAGTCTCTTTGCATGGGGAAAATCAACTCATGCTTCGCCTTATCCGAACTCAGTATTGGATCCCCAGAGTTAAAAATCTGATCAAATCCACAATCCATAACTGCAAAGTCTGTACGATATACAAAAAACGTACGCAAACCCAGCTTATGGGAATTCTCCCTCAGGAGAGAACCACATTTTCGCGCGCGTTTACGAATACAGGTGTAGATTTTTCAGGACCCTTTGACATCAAAAGTTATAGCGGCCGAGGTTGTCGAATGTCCAAAGGATACGTTTGCCTTTTTGTCTGTTTTACGACAAAAGCGATCCATTTGGAAGCAACTAGTGACCTCAGCACTCCATCATTTTTAGCTGCATTCGCCAGGTTTGTAGCCAGAAGAGGATGCCCGAAGAACATATATTCCGACAATGGTACAAACTTCGTCGGAGCTTCACGATCTTTACGATCTGAATTTAAGGCATTTTTAGCAGATTCGCGTGAAAAAGCAGTTTCGAAATACAATTATCAAATGCTCACATGGCATTTCATACCCGCCGCTGCTCCTCATATGGGCGGCTTATGGGAGGCGGGGGTAAAAAGCTTTAAAAGCCACTTTAAAAAGATTGCATCCGTTCATAAGTATACGTTCGAAGAGTTCAGTACTCTTTTATGTCGGATTGAGGCGTGCCTCAACTCACGACCATTGAGCCCCGCTTCGAATGAACCTACCGACCTGGAGCCTCTCACTCCAGGTCACTTTCTTACTGGTGGACACCTGCTAGCCCCACCTGAAATCGACGTTCACGAGAATCCTGCCTCGATAGTAAATCGGTGGCAGAAGCTAAAGGCCCTTCACCAAACTTTTTGTAAACGATGGAAAACCGAATATTTATCCGAACTGCAAAAGCGGATTAAGTGGAAATATCCACAGCAAAATATAAAATTAGGAGATCTCGTTGTCATCAAGGAAGACAACCTCCCGTCAAATGAGTGGAGATTAGGTCGAATTATCAGCCTACATCCTGGTCCCGACGATCGAGTACGCGTAGTTGACATCATCACGGAAAAAGGGCAGATTACGAGACCGCTGGCCAAACTGGTCCTACTTCCATCCCAAAATCAAGAAACCGAGGAGCCAGCAAGCACTTCGTAAATAAACCCTCTCCGTTGATCCCCAATCCCGCGTGAATTCCACTTCCTCATCGCACAAAAATTCCACTTCTATGCATTCGGAAGGATTCAACGCCTATAATCAAGTTTAACCCAGAGCAATATTAAAGGTAGTCGTGTTTTTAGTTAGATTTTTGGTGATGGTTCTTAGCCCGGCCTCTCCGGGTAGATCTGGGTATAAAGAACCGACCATCGTTAGATCTTGTAAGCATAGAATCGGGTAAAAATAAGACAGACCCAGCGTGATGAATCGGGTAAAAATAAGACAGACCAAGCTTGATGAACAATTGTTTCAGAAATACGAAATTGGTAACGAGGTGCGAATTATCAATTAAAATCCTCCAAAAAATATAATAATAAGCGAAATAAGTTGAAAGTCGTTACAATTGTTCATTATGCTTGCTCGTGTTTCAACACAACTAGGTCTGATGGGAAGCGAATACATTTTACTTGACAGGTTTCGATAACCGTCAGTCAACCCATTAGACCAAATGAGTTCGCCTCAATTGTCAAAACCTACCAGCAAAGACTATAGTTCAAAAAAAAAAAAAATATCTATACATACGATAGCTTATTTGCAATAAATGTGTTATTTGTGCCGTGTGGAATGCTCCCTGCGAAGCCCCGAAAACTGAAAGGACGTTTGGCAATTTTTTAAATTATGCATATATATATATATATGTACTACGCATGTAGTTATGTGAATTACATTTCTTATAACCCGATTACTGGGGAAATGACTAGCTCAAATTGTATTTAAACGAAAAACGGGTTGCAAAAAAAAAAAAAAAAATTACTTACTAACGTTTTACTAAAGTAAGATATATAAACATACTGAAATAACGGAACATACATTCCAAAAATTCTAAAGACAACTGTCTTACTAGATAAAGCGAAGGAAATTCTAGTTAAACAGATTATCTATAAATTCTGTGCTTCGATGATAAATAAAAATAATATTTGTAAGCGCTTACTGTTTACCTATATTAAAAGAGGGATCATTGAAATACAGGCATGTGAGATTCCTTATTGTATGTAACATGCTCATGGCAGTGCCCTAAAAACTTTAGATCAGTATTCCTATCTCCATTTTAATTTCTGCTCTGGAGCGTTTGAAGGAAATTGGGCGAAGAAAATCGAACATACTACGTAAATCGCACAAACTGACGGCAATGAGAACAAAACACTTTATTTTAATACTTTGCTGCATTATAATTACAACAATATTTTTCATAATTTTGGGACCGGCTGGTGAACCCAACGATTCTTTGAAAAGTATTGTTACGCATACACATCAGCAGCTAAACAAATTGCAGGAAAATCTGCGTGTTGCTGAGAAAAAAAAAAAGCTTCAAATAGACCCGAAATATTTGTCTTTGCTTGGTATCACCGAATTTTAATGTTACTGGAGTGGCATATATTTAAATGTTTATAGTAAAAAAAAAAAAAAAAACAAAGATGACTAGGCGAGACTTTGAACACAAGTTGAAGTACGCACATAACGCCTTCCGTATTTGGGAAAGATCGACCAGTCGCAAATTCTTGGTGGAGGTTTGAATATGTCGTACGGTTTCCTCAAATATTGTAATTAAATCCACTTTCATAAAAAACTCCTTAATAATAATTTATCGCGATCAATAATTTTGCTTGACTCTTTCAGACTATTAAAATGCAAAGTACACAATACCAACTGGAAAATTGAAATATTTTGTACTTTCAAACCTTATCGAATTAAAATTTACGTTGGGAGATTTAATTTTGCAAGTTCTAAGAATGACTATTATTTACATATTTATTGTAACGCAAAAATAAAAAAAAGTAGTAAAAGTATTACGCAGATTCTTATTGCCCTGGGCCTGACAAAGATTTCTCCATGAACTTTTTCTTGGCAAAACAAATCCACCACTTATTTGGCTTGCCGTCGTCAGTGCTGAAAACTTTTTCACAAACCCGATTTCCTATTTCATGGCGCATTTGTAAAAAATACTGACGCATCAAATCAGCCTCTTGTGCATTCTGTGGTCGAGCATAAACTGCGTTTAATGGAAACTTTGAAATGGCCAAGCTGTACATTTCTTGAGCACCTTGGTTTTTTGTTGTTGCAACGTTGCAAGCGCTTCAAACATTCAGTTATATAGAGTGTAATATAAATAAGCACACGATCTACTTCCGACTTTATCTCATAAGTTCGAAAGAAAACATTTGCCTTAAAGTAATACAGTGACTCATCAATGATATCAGATTCTACATTGACACTAGGAGCAGGCCCACGAGCTTGAGTGCGTAGAGGCAAAAGTGCCATGTTTCCAACCACTTGAGGAAATTCCTTAATCTGAGAATGGTACGCCGGCATGATTTTTGATATTGCAGCAAATAACTTAATTTGTATTTAAAAATGAATAATAAAAAACTTTGCCTTGTCCAATTGACGTCGTCGAAGCCAAACCAAATTTCGATACCAAATTTAGTGTAGATATATGTAATAAGCAATTAGATTTGGAATCAATAGCTCGTTAGACATATTCTTTGTATCTGTGTAACTTAAACAATAGCTACACCTTCAACCCTCCTTCACCAACAAATAATTTTCCAGTTAATTTAAAATGACCCCTTCACTGCTGTTAATTATAAAAATATACATACCTAGTTGCCGGATAGTGGTAATGGCCAGAATAAAACTAAAACATAGTGCCACCCAGATTTAGATTACCTTTGAAGAATAAAAGTTGTCATTGTAGCTCATTTTTGTTATAAAATCTACTATAAACATACGGCCCAATGCATCCAGGCAATGTTGTTGATGGACCACAAGGTCAACAGGGTGGTGCAATGCCCCAAAATGCTGGCCAGCAAAGTGGTATCAGCCAAATGATAGGTATTTCCCAGAATATGCAACAGAAGGTAAATATGCCAATAGGTCAGGGTGGCCAGATGTTTCAGGTTAATCGTGGTGTTCCGGGTCAGTAGCAGCAGTTCTTACGGCAAAGTCCTTCACCAAGTACTGTGCCATCTGCCACTGGTATGTAGGCTGCACAAAATCAACAGCAACAACAGCAGACTCAAATGTCTGATGCGCAGATGATTCCAAGCCCTTCGGTACTGATATTTGCGCTCCTGCACCAGCATTTGTACCCATAGGACCAGCAGCGTTCAAACGTGCGTTCATCATTTGATTTAATTGCTGATGGTTCATGCTGATTTGCGCCATTTGCTGTTGATCCATTTGTTGAATCTGCTGTAAATTCATAGCATTCACGTTCATTGGCCCTCCCGGGATCTGCCCTGGACCTAACTGCATTTGTTGGGAAGACCCACCAGGGCCACCAGAACGGCTAATTTGATTCATGTGATCTGAAAATCGAAAAAGATTAATAAATACAAAAGCCTGCAATTTCGCATGCATACTCACCCAACCGTTCCAGCAAACTTACGTAATGGCCGCGTGGTAGTAAAATTTTAGACAATGACATTTATGCATTGTATGTATGTATGTATGTGATTACGTTCCACATCAGGAATAAACCTAGCGCCGTTCTCCATTCATATTGGAGAATAGCTATGTTTCTTTACGGACAATTAACACTAACCCTAACTAGCTGCTGCTAGTTTTGCATGGTGACCGTTCGTAGACAATAAATTTAATTGCTGTTGTCATACAATTGGTGATTTTAAATGTAAAACCAATGCAAAGTCACTGGGTACCACAAAATGT